CCAACCGAAAGCCGCCCAACGCAGCTAACCTTTTAGTCCTGCCTAAACGGTTATGATCTGCCATCACACAACGCGCAGTTCCAGGGTGCGTGTGTGTGCGTATGGGCGGCACATCCCATCTGGGCTATCCATCATGCGACGTATGTAGTAATACTTTTATTTATTTTTATTTTTATCGAGTCCGCTTGTCCTCGATAGCGAGCTTCTGATATGATTGTACCATAGTGGTATTTCTCCAGTGGTTCATCGTGAGTCGTGATTTGCGACGGTCGGGTTCGGAATACATTGCAACCCTCTCCATACATAGTACGGAGTACTATTCTATCCATCCACCGGACTGCTACTACCTACTAGCTAGTGACACTAGATACCAAGTAGTGCGGACGCCCGGGTGTATAGGCAGTCAGTCAGTTAGTCAGTCAGTCAGCAGTATTCCGTAGTAGATAGTATCTAGTAGTGAGTGAGTGCACCAGCCTCCAGCAGATTAAAAACGGCTCACAGTCTCTCTATCCGGTACTTTTGAAAGTTGCGACAACCCACACTTACCTCCCTCTGGACTAGGGGAGGACAGTTTGACAGGGCCCCCCCTCTCCAAATTAATAACGCGCGAGCTAATTCGAAGAGAAAAACACAAAAATAAAACCCCCCATCATTCCTTTGGACCACTACTAATCCTTCATCCGCAAATGAGATTCTTTAATCTATGGGGAATTTAATTAGCTACTCATATCCTTTTCTTTGTGTTGCGCGGTGACACTAACCTGGTCTGTGATGTCCCACCGAGAGTACTCCGTCGTACATAGTATGTCAGATGGGGAGATGGGGGGGAAGGTGTGCAAAGACCTGCATGCACAAACAGGGGTTTGAGTTTAAGGCCAGGATTTCTAGCCTGGAATGAATTAAAATAATAATAATAATAATAATAATAATAATAATAATAAGACTACGGAGTATAGGGAGGGTGCTTTGTTTGTTCTTTCTTTCCGCCTTCCGGCCAAGCCCGCTAAGCCGGACTGGGTGGCAAAAGCCACGCCTTTTCCCCTCATGTTTGTATACGCGGTCCTTGAGCAACTCCAAGTTTGAAGCTGAGATGGATGGATGTCTTCTAAAGTCTCAAGATTAGCGTAGGCATCCTGGTAGCAAAAGGAAAATAGGATTTGGTAACGGAATCGATAAACAGTGGAAAGGCCATGGAGAGAATGGGTAGTCCAAAGTCAAAGTACAAAGTCTAAAGTCGAAAAAATGGGACTCCCTCGGTTGGAGAATCGAGATCGACAAGGCAGTAACCATCCCACTGGGACTCGAGAGAACTTTCTCGAGGCCAACCATCACCGCGTTACTTTTCTTTTTTTTTTGCTTAGCCATCCCCGGTTGGCGGGTACTTTTGGCCATAGGGTTCAAGTCATCTCTCTGTACGCAGCACTCCGTAGCCGTCCGTACAATATCTTCTTTCGGAAGTCGGCTGCTAAAGGATTCGTTGTTTGCGATGGATGTTTTGCCTCCCCGGGATCCGACGAGGCGATTCAAACAAACCAGTGGCAGTGGCAATCTAAAAATCAGGTTATTCCTGTGACTCCATATTCCATTCTGGCTGGCGGTAGTACGGGACACCATTGGCCGAGAAAGTAACGGCCTCGAAATAGAAACCGATGGCCGAAAATCCGCGTCAATCAGGGCCCGGCGAGAAGGAAAAAGCACGGCGGAGGGACCAATGGGAGGGATTTGACCTGTCGACTGTCACGGGGAAACGGCAGCCAGACACACTTGAAGGAAGGACGCATCCCGACCCACCGGCTGGCGAGTGCCGGACCAACTGGAGGCCGGCGGTGCTGCTGGTTGCTACCCGGCCGTCAGAGAGACAGCCGGGGGAGAGCGCCGGGCTCAATTCTTAGCTTCCCTTGATGGATCACAAGAGACGGGGCCAAGTCGAGCATTTCCTAAGTGAGGATCTCTGAAGTTATACCTAGCTCCATCTGGAGCTGCGTTCCATGGTTGGAGGATCATGATCGGATAGCATCCAATTGCCGATGGCTTCACATCAAGGCAGGGTCCAGTCTCATTTTCGGTCGCACACTCTTCTGGGGTCACCTGTCTCACCCAATAATACTAGTATCTTATGCCCCGTACCTGCATGATGACCCTGTCCATGGTGCAGATAACTACGGAGCAAAATGTACTACCAGGACGACTTTCTAGTATCTACAGAGTATCCGTACATGGGTGCGATAAGGCGGCGATTCTCCTCCGGTGGCTAACACCTACGTCAGTGGTCGTGAAGAGTCTTTGCGACAATGGATTATCTACGACGCAAGGGCAATCGCACAGCCCTATCCCCGCCCATCCACTGATCCCGAGCTATATATAACAGCTGACAAATGGATTACACATGGTACTAGACTTTGCTAGAGATTGATGATCATTAACCTTAAGGCACATAACAGGACGCATGACGGAGTATGCATTATCTACATACGGCACATACGCCCGCAGGTAGATGAACCTTGGCCTAATGGAGGACCACTGCCTCCAGCATGGAGTCTCGAACTCAATCACCTGTGAGTTAGCTGATTAGACGGATCGTTGCATTGCACCTCAGTATGTTATGGTTACTCATTCATGTACCAATCCTCAATTATGCACGCACATCAATGTTGGCTTGTTGGGTTGGCATTCTTGATACCGTTATGGCGACGTCTCGAACTCCATACTCCGGACTTCCGTCCAGTGTCGCCCCCGCGCGCGGGAGAGGGACCTGGAGTGATATCCTGATAATAGTTGATAACGGGAAGAAGCAATGAGGACAGTACCCCCCACACCATTCGTGCTCATGAATCCATCGCCTTGGTTCTTGGGTCTGATCGTCACGATCAATCTGTCGGCTCATAGTACATGCGGAAGACGCATTCTTAAGAGTAGCTTTAATGATGCAGCACGTAATGCCCGATTGAGTAAGTTCTGAATCCACGGCCTAGTTTTGATGTCCCGTGCTGATAAAGTTCACGCCGGACGAGAACAAAGACAACCTGAGACGACGAGACGGGATGGAGGACGGGTCAGTGGACGGCAGTTGACTGCTCCCCCCCCAGTCCATAAGGATCGACGGAATGACAGGTCGCAAACGGTGATTTCCGCGTACTCCGGCGGACAAAGAAATGATAATCACACTATATAAGCCAGACGCCAGTGTCGTCCCACACTGGAGCCGTAGTCGATATTGCTGACTGCTGACTGCTGACACCCGACCGTTGACTTTACTGCGGCAAGCCAGAGTCCAGGCCCGACTGGGTTTCCGGGATGGGTTAGGCTCACGGCCTACTAGCTGGAGGCACGGCGTTGCCCAGAAATCCTCCTCCAGAGATAACCCACTCGAACAAAGAGATCCTGTCACTTTGACAGACCAGGTCGGCAAGGCTTGTTCATCCGCCGGGCCTAGAAATAGCACGTGCCTGTTGCTGTATGCGGGACTAATTCTTAGAGGGGGTCAGTGCTGCTAACGTGCAACTGCAACTTGCAAGCCTTCACGTCGCAGTATCCCGGTCCCTTGCTCGATCATCACTCCTAGCAACCTGAGCAGGTCGATTGCCGATCAAGATGATCGGATCCCATCGATCCATTTCTGGAGCCCGGCCTCGAGAACCCAAAAGTCGACTCAGGAGGGGTGATAGACTGGTAGGAGCCTAGGACTGACTAGGACAACCGGCGGATCTCCTCTGGTTCCCCCGCTAAGACGGAACAGGATGGGTCCGAAATTACCTCGGGCTCGATGGCATGTCCAGTTGTCCACAGGTCCCACCATCAGGCACGACATCAGACATGATCCATCGTCTGTTCTCGAGACGGGATGCTCGGGCACAGAACGGAGTCCCTCAATCAACACCGCGACAGCTTCCCCCCCACATAGGAACCGCAGCAACGCGGGACGGCACGACTGGGCTTGACTCGAACTACCCCTGTTCTGGCGGAAGGAAGAGGATAGGAGAAGGTCTTCCGTGTCCGGCGCAGATCGACCGCGTCGCGTCGGGTACGAATTGGAAAGGAGTCCTTGGTCGCGACCAGAATGTAGGAGTGTAGGACCATAGGATCGTAGGTCATAGGATCAGAAAAAACTAGGGGATTAAAGGGACCAGAGACCGGAACCCAGCAGGCACCACTGTCAGCCCATGAGTCCATCAGGGGCATCAGGGTGAGTTGCACCGTTCCATGGGTCGAGACCACGAGGGGGCCTCCTTTCAACTTTGAGACTTTGCGTCGGTCCTTGGATGCCTGAGGGGCGCCGCGTGCTTGATTGCGGTGCCTGACAGCCTGAGATCTCAGGAACCGGCACGTGTCCGATCTCTGATCAGGTGCTTCCCCGATATACTTTCTGGGACGAGAGCATATCTTCTATCTTCATTTTCCTTCCCTGAGCTCTCCTCCAGTCTCTACTCGACTCATTCTACTTCGTATTCGCAACCAACTTGCTCCGGCTACTGGTTTCACTTGGCCACCTGCACGCTCTCACAGTAATGGATTCCTCAATCCTCACGGTCCACCGCCCCGTCGCTCCACAACCCGTTCGGTTTTGCGGTCGCTATTATTAAAAGCAAGGCCAGCCGGCAACCCCGTCTGCGGAGCATTCGGTCTCTGACTTCGGAAGCCCGTGAAGGCTGAAGCCCGTGAAGCCCGCCGTGACAAACATTAACTCGGTCGGTCTCTCCGAGTCGAGAACTATAGAACACCTTCCGATTTGTCGGAGTCAGCCTGCGTGATTGTTCGAGGTTTCGAGCAGGCGCATGTCATGACCTTCGACGCAATGCAGCCCCTCGTGCTCCGAGTCGATGACGACTGCATCCTTGCTCAACGTACATGACAGCCGATGCTCCAATACCTGTTTGAGATCGCCATCGTCGATCTTTTGCATCATGAAGACCCTTCCCGTTCCCACAAGCAAGCCTGGTAGATAGATCAAATCCGGGCTTCGTCGACGCTAGGAGGTTTTGTCGAGTCATTGACAACTCACGGTGGACCAGGTGGATCCTCATCGCCAATTATACCCCTCAGAGCGAGGCGCGCATTAGCGATAGATATATCCAGCCATCGCCTCGTGTGTCTCTCCACTCAGGTCCTCGATGCCTCGTTTCTGCATGAGCACACAGCCAGTGAAGAATCAAGAAACAGCACCATGAGTATCACACCTGTGAGCATGAAAGTACTCCATATTGCTTTAGCCCACGGAACCACCTTATGCATTCCCGCTCGCGCGCGATTAAATTCTGCAGGACCTGCATATAACTTGGAACCGACTAGTAGGTAGCTATCTATTTTCTTCTGCCGTGGCGTCCGGACTACGGCACGGAGTGAAGCTGGATCCTGCAGATGCATCCTATAGCTGATGGAGACGCTGGGTTGCCTGGATAGGCGATTTCACCGAAGGATCAGCGTGCGATCCATTTTCGTGATGGCCTACCTGATTGGCAACTGCCAGTTTGCTCTGGCCAGTGCTGGTCGCACTAGCTAGCCTTCACACCCCATCGACATCTGTGCGCAGTTGGCGTTGAGGATGGTATACTCCGTTCCCCGTCCTCACTGGGTCGTCCGTGACAGGTGCTATCTACAGGAATTGGTCTCCGGGAGCTCGGGAAGTCAAGCACGAGCCATAGCCGCCCTCGGGGCACCCGATGCTCGTGACTTCTCCGCAATGCCTAGGGGTTAGTGCCGCCCTGCTCGAGGGAAATGTTTGTCACGCAATCATCATGATATTCATCTGGCAAGCAATCTCACGCCACGAAAAAAGTGCCAACGTCATATCGCTGGATCTAGACAGCGCGTGCAGAATATTCCCCTGCCGCCACAACCACGCCAGCTGAGCCCCTCGGAATCAGGGGTCGGGACAAATGTCAGGCCGATCATTGATAGCCGCAAAGAAATACCGACGGAGGGTAGCCATCTGTCGGTATGTGAGTAGGTCGGTGCCTTCTGTCGGGTCCGTCTTACCCAAACCAGCGAGGCGACGCCATTGGGGGTCTCCAGGAGGAATTTTCATACTAAAACCCGGCTAGAAGAGAAGCTACTGCAGGAGGCGCATGCGGGCAAACAATATCAGAAGCCTAGCTAGTCAAAAAGCCTCGCTCACTTCCCAACTGGGGTAAGCCGCCTCGTCCATGCACGCTAATTCAACCATGCAGGCTCACTCGTGGGATAGAATTTGCACGAGCAACCAATGATCGGGCCGCCACGCACATTCTCCCCTTCACGTGCGGTGTGACTTGACTGCATTGTCACATCGGGTAGTTTTCTTTCGGCAATAGATCCTATTGTGGGATGAGGTACTCTCAGGTACCCTATACTTGAGCATGCATCGTCGAGGATTGTTTGTCCTCTGGCTGAAGAAACAAGGCGAGTCTAGCGCCGATATTGTTTGCCTTTTGCAGAAGACCAGTCTGGAGTTTTCTTCGTACAATGATGGACTAGGCTTATCATCTGATGAAGAATCTGGCGCACGCGACGCGTCGACCATGGCCATGTTTGACAGATCGTGTCAACCGGAGCAATGTCGAAACATACGATTGCAAGAACCTCAACATCAATGGCTTTTTCTCAGCTCGTAGAAGACAACACTCTTTGAAACCCTTCCTATCGATATCAACCACTACTCCACACATTGTAAAACAACCAATACCCTATATCTTTATTAGCCTCACACTAGAATCATTCCACCCTCTCTACCAATTCAACATACAAACAATAATCCACCAACCCCCGCATTCTCTACTCCGTACAGCGTACTAACTCCACTCCGATACCGGAGTACAGACTATCGCAGACGCAGATGCAGACGTAGACGCAGACGCAGACGCAGACACCGACACCGACACCGACACGCTAATCCTTCTCTCGGAATCTACAAGTCAATAGAGCCGATTGGGTATCATCTTTTTTTTGCCCCTTACAATCATCTCTCCTATACGCTATACGCAGTCATCCTCCTTTTGGCTTATGTTAACTGTGCGTTCATCCACCTATACGCACACGCACACACACACACACACACACACACACACACACACATATATATATATATATCTATCACACCATGTCAAATGATCATGTATAGAAGGCTAAGAATAGGAAGACGAATACTCTCCAACAAGTGTAATAGGGATAACTTAAATTCTTCTGTTCAACATTATAGATATATATATATATATATATTTATAAAGAGTGTGTGCACGGACATCTCCAAAACCAAGACCCCTCCCTGGTAGTATGAAGTACTACATGCATCAACACCTAGGGACATATTGAACAGATGCAAAATCAGATCACTATATAAGAGCAGGCCTTGAAACCTCACTTCTAGTCCCCCCCCCTGAAAAAGGAAAAAAATAGAAAAAGAAGCTGGAGGAAAGAATAACATATATTATACATAGATTAGTATACTACTAATCTATTCATGTTTCAGGTCGTACTTTCTGTACTGGGATGAAAATGATATCGAACTATACGACTGTGGATATGATCTAGTTACTAGATGTGGTGGGAATATCCATTTAGAATGATGTTCCTCCTGGCGAGAAATTTAACCGCTATGCTCATCGCTATTGGCAAGCCTGATTATGTTGGTTTGGTGATGATGATGATGATGATGATGTAGTCAATCTATCTAGAGGATGGATTTATCAGTGCCTCCTGCAGGTTTAGCACTAAAACTGATGATATCATGATTATGAATTCTCTACATGATAGTATATAGAGGACAGAGGTTAGAACAGTCCCTCCATATCCAGATCCAGGAATTCAGGATTCCCAACCGCCATATCAGCCGCGTTCAGTACATCATCAATGCTCGTATCCATTCCGCCCGTGGACTCGAGTCCCATGTTACCCATACCTCCCATGTTCTGGCTACCGTCCATTCCCGCGGCCGCCGCGGCCGCCGCGTTATCCAGCATCTGGTTGATGTTCTCGTCGTGTCCACCGGGGCCGGATGGCTCGAGGTCCATCTGTCCGGGACCGTCGACGCCCAGTTGCATGTTTTGAATGATGTTGTTCATGTCCAGGTTGGGGACCTGAGAGGGAGGTGTCATGAGCGCGTTCACCCGTCGGTATAGCCGGACGATAACCTCTGCACGTAAGGGGTCTTTCTCGGAGATTTTAGGGACGTTCTCGTGCTGGACGAAGAGAGCGCCGCGGAGGGTGAGGATGAGGCACCGTGGGAGTGGCTCCTTACTGGGGTCAATGGGATGGTGCGAGTAATTGTTCTGGTCCACGGCGAAGGACTCGGCGAGTGGTGCGCAGATCATCGTCGCTGCAACGTCCAGGGCCAAGTCGCCGTTGCCTGACTCAGTCTGTAGCTTGAGCTCCTCGATGAGGGTTGTCAGGACGCGCGCTGACCCCTGGATCTGGATGCCGGCGATGAGCTGTCGGTGCGTGTATGAATGGGGCGCCATGCTCATGTCTGGGCTGGTACTCCATAGCACCAGTGACTGGAAGGTGCTTCGGATACTGGCGAGCAAACCCCCTGGGGTATGACTGGTCCAGGACTCCAGCTCGGTGCGGTGACAACTGCCACTGCGCTGAAAAGACAGACACGGCTCGAGCGCATCCAGAATCGGTTTGACATCTTCTGGCTGCCGTGCTCGGATGCTCTTCAGCTGCTCCTCTAGCGAGCGGGCGGTGATGTTCAGAACCGTCCGGTGGATTTCTTTCGCTTCCCCGGAGATCGAGCTGGGGCTCACCAGCGACTGGAGCGTCTTGAGAGGGATTGACGGGTCACTTTCTGTCTCCCAGATGTGATTACCCAACCAATTCAAGGCCAAGATAAGCGACGGTAGGAGAAAAGGCTCCAGAAGGTCTGATTTGTTAGCGCTGAAAGATGATGTTTCAGACCAAACTCACATTCGAAGCCCCCCTTGAGCGTTTCAAATTCTAGCTTTCCCGCTTCACAGGCCCCCAGACTCTGGTTGAATAGCGTGGTTACGAGGAGGTAGAATTCCTGCGGACTGCAAGCCGACATGGAATCCTCACTGATCCCTTCGGCCACGAACAGAGCGTTGATCCACGCGCCGAGATTCTTGTTCTGCTTCTCGCTGAGATCATCAAGCTTCTGACTGCAGAAGCCATTCTCGAGCAGTCGCATGACAAAGGAATTGTTGCCTCCGATTCCCATGTCATGCGGTCGCAAATCGTATCGGAACTTGAAAGTCAGCACCAGCAACAGAATGCTTCCGAACTCGTCGTAAACTGGTTGGCTCTCTCCCTGGTCCTCGTCCCAGTGCCAGGCATCTAGCAAAGCGCAAAGCGGTTGCAGTATTTGTTTTGCGCCCCGAAAAAGTAGAATCACATCTAGAGCCTGCGTGCGGCGGGACAAGGAATTGCAGATGTTCTTCAATGTCATGGTCTCTTTTTGATTGCAGAGATGGTGCATGACCTAGTCGCGTCAGTCTCGTATTGATGCCCATCGATCAGGGAGCCTACCTCTGTAATGGCACCCACGATGGCACCCGCATTGCCCTCCATAGACTCAATCTCATTGATCAACTGCTCCGCACGCTCCGGATTGGCATTGATTTGCGAAACAAGCTCATCTTTATTATACGGCCCCCCAACAGGAAGAGTCTGCATCGGGTTCTCGCCCAACAGACGCTCAATGCTGGACTCGGGGATCAACTTATGCGAGGCACAAGCAAACAGGAACTCCTGCCGCACATCCGATAGAACCGTATTGCTCTGCATGGCAAACATTTGCGAGAAAGAGGGAAATGTGTTCGGATCAAGCCGGCTCAAAGCATGGCTGATACAAAGCTCCATCGGCAACGACACCATGGAGGCGGCCAACATGGCCGCGATAAAGGCAGGGAGTTTGTTTACGAGGAATGAACGGAATAGAAACATTGATCGGCTGGACTCGCTGCGGTAGCTCGCATTCGATAGGACATCAAACGCAGCCGTGATGATCTCTTCAATGAGAACTTGGTAGTGTCCCTGCGATGGTCAGCTATGTGCTGCAACAGACGGGGTCTACTCACCCCATATCTATTAGAAAGGAAATTAAGCAGCATGCTATCATCGACCAGGGGGCGGCCCACAAGCTAGAAGCCAGTTAGTCTTGTTCGAATAGCATGATGCAACTAATATACCATCGCGTTTATATAAACGTAGAGACCTGCTCTGGAATTAATCATAGGCCCGTCCATGACCGAGTCCTCGAACTGAAGCGCATTAACATTGACATTTTCCATCATGGAAACATCCAACGCTTTAGATGGAGGCTCCCCGAAGAGATTGAACTCCTTCTGCAAGCCATCCAGACGGTTGCGAAGGGGCAACGATACTTCCACGCAGAGGGGAAGATATGCCGACAGAGCCTGACCAAGTTTGATTTTCAAGGCTGGCAGAAGCCGTCAGTATTGAGAAATGCTAGACCGGATACGCAGACACTACCTTCGTGAGAGTCAGCAGAAAGGACCTGTAGGCCCTTAGCAGTCCCTGACAACGCAGCGAGCAAAATCCCCAACGACTCGAACAATGAAACGGCATCAGGGGAAGACATAAGCCCCCCTGTTTGATGACTTGCATCCATGTGGCTATTATGCCAAGCCACAACGGCCTGAATCCAGTCGACAATCGAGTGGAATATACCAATAGCTTCCAGAAAGGTCTTGGGCGCACTGCCCGTGGACACGGAAAGCATAGCATCCTGGACGACTCGAATATCCGTCATCAGGGTATAACATGTCCGTTTCTGTTTGCTCTGCACCGCCTCCGATCCCGGAGACGATGGCTTGTCATGGATAGATGAGTACTTCAGTAGCGAGTTCAGCACGGTGGAGGTCTGAACGACCCCCATCTTACAAAGACAATCGATATACAGTGGGAGCAGCGGATCCCATTTTATCCCTGTCGCGATTCGAGTCTCGAGCAGCACATTTAGCAGCGGCGCTTCCGTGATGGGGCTTCGCTGTAATAGCAGCCGCGTGAGGTTCTTGAACTCCGCGGCATCGATGCGATGGAGCAAACATTGTCGGAGGAAAGTCCCCCATTGCTCGGAGGACGTCATGTTCCAGAATTTTTCGTGGCGATACCTGGTCTTGTGGGGCGCATAGCAAGCGTGGAGGCTATTAAATAAAATTCATACATCCAACCGGGCACTGTAAGAGCATTGCCTCGACATCTTGCTCGGCCGTTTTGACAGTTGTTGATTCCGGGGAAAGCTTGAAGCTTCACGCATTGTTTGGCGACGTCAGGTGCCGATCACGTGGTATTAGATAAGCACGGGTCACATGATGGTCTACTGTCAGGCACTCAGGCTGACAGTATCTCCTCGTCCGGGCTTGATACAAGGCAAAGATTACACTGATCACTGAAGTGTCAAGCGTGCCGGGTTGGGCTTCATGTTATGGCCTGATCACACATGATGCATGTCTGTGCAGGAATCTAGACCGATTCGACTACTGGAGATCGATGCTCCAACTTCATGCTCTTGATGTAATTACATTATCGTCTGCGCCTCAACTAGAGGGCCGCGACCACTTACCGGACATGCTACCTAAATGGGTTATAGGGGTCAAAGTGACAAGGGATACCACTCCCAGGGAGACTGGGTAATACCTTAGTAAGAACTAAGCAGAGGCAGCGTGCTTCTCGGACATTTGCCGTGGTTCCACGATGTGGACATCCATACTCAAAAATACAGACACACGGACCCTATCCAGCGCGACAAGGCCAACGGAACTGCCACTGTGCATGTGGCCAGAAGACTTACCGTGGAACCAGATCGGCGGCTCAGCGGACATACATACTCGGATTGGAGAATGCGTGCGGGAATTCCGAAGCAAAAACAGGAATCGGGGCCACTAAGCGCACAATGGACCCTCCCAAAAAGTTAAGCGAATCGGCGATGGGTCATGGATGATAGATCTTGCTTTGGCCCTACCCTTGCCGATCTCTCCACCCGCTTGTGAGCGATCAGGATCGGAATCTTGGGAAAGATGAGACACCGGAGGATCAAGGGGCAACTGTACACGGTATTGTTGGCGAGTACGACCCGTCCGCCAACGAGTCGGAATTGTATTTCCTGTGATACCGAGTAGCGTGAGAGGTACGTATACAATGTTGGGTTAGAAGGTTGATGTTGCTTCACAGACTTATCTAAGGTTTGGAAGTAAGTCCGTCAACTGGAACGGACCCTGCAAGGCAGTATACTTTCACGAGTCATGACCATCTCCTGACTTGCATCCTGCTTATGCCTGCTTGCCCAGCCGGAGCGATTGAGTATTGAGTTCCGTGGACGGCCACTGAGCAATCTTGCATGACGGGAGAAAACCAGTCGGAGATACTGGCACACCGGAGGTACTAGTAACATTCAGTCAGAGTCATGACCTCATAGCAGGGTGTGTGGAGGAGTACTGTGTAGTCGACCTTCAAGTGCATGCGGTATACTCCGTAGGTCACCAAGGTATTGTAGGTATGGTAATACAAGGTGGTAACTAATTCCGGTAAGCTACAAGACCAGTTCGATGACGCGTCTCAACATGACATAACATGACGCCAGAAATTCTCCGAACCCCGGACCAGCCTCAACTGTCATCTGCATTGTTCATTCATCTATAGAACAATCAATGGAAATTTGATCTTGAGATTCCGATCAGAACAATGGTAGACACCACATGCCCAAGGTAAACACTGGAGGTTTATGCTTACCACTTGCCTGCGGATCCGAGGTCTGCAGTACTTCTGGGTTCCGACAGATCGGATCTTGACTCGACCGAGTAATAATCGGCCGAGTTGAATCTCGTGCAAGCGAAGATACCCCAGTCATTTTGACACTTGCTGACGACTGCAGTGCTGCTGTATGATGGGTAGCAGAGCGTGAGTTTCGAAACGAAATGCGGCGTTGACTGGATCCGTAACGGACACCTTCCTTCACCTTTCCAAAAAATAGGGGAACGCGGCGTGTAGGACAAAAGGAGTGAAAAGTCAGTCGGGCGTCAAATACGGACCCCATAGGCTCGGATGCAGGAAGTATGTTCGAGAGAAGGACAAATCATCAGTCGTGATCTGTTGGTCTCCTAAAGTGGATAGACCCCTGGACCCAAGGATCCATCGGCCGTTTCGTTTCAGATTTAGCACTTGGGCGTTTTGGGGAAAAGATGGTTTAATCGCTTAACCGGACAGAAGTATAGTTGACTTGGCATTCGGAGGCTGCAAGAGTGACCGTTTTCAGGGGCCTAGATTTTGATCGCTGGAGAACATCGAGTAATCAAATGATGTGCCAACAAAAGCCCACTGGATAAGATCCTGACTCGTTAGAATCCATCCACTGGTGGAGATATGCTCAGGTGCCGTATTCCGGTAGTGGGCGGAATCTGGATATCCTGACGAACGAATGGATGGGTCCGCGGAACCCCGACTTAGAGAGGTAGACTCTTCCTTACTAACAGAGTCTGCATGACGGAATCCAAACTTACAAGGCAACCAGATGATGCACGCACAGAGAAAACACAGTGTGTCCTCGTGTACACCGAAACTCCCAACTTCGAGCCCTAGGGCGCTAATTCGGCGGCTCGGCTTGATCCTTAGGGCAACTCATTGCGAAGCCTCGGTTAAGATATTAGAAAGCAAGGGATGTACATGCTACGTCCTCAGAGACTTGGCTCATCTAGAAGCCGTGGTAGAATTTTTCTAAGCATTTAGCCGTACGGCTCAAGAATACCATATTCAGCAACAAGCCACGGGAGCAGTGGCATGCTGCCAATAAGAATAAAGACTGAAACAGAAAGACCCACCGGTGAAATGATGCATTAAAAGTGAACTAGATCTCGCAAGTACATAATATGTATGAGGCTGTCTCAAAGGTCATCTGCAAACCGGACACACATGATAAGCAATAAAGAGCGCCTTATTTTGCGTTAGCACGTTACCTGTACACAAGTAGGCGACCTGTTAGCATGTCATTGGTTTTCCAATAGCTGCATCTTGAGACTTGAGTACCCGTACAACATGAGAAGAAAAGTAGGCCATGAACCCAATCTTAGCAGCTATAGCCATGTGGTGTGTTATAGGAACTCGAGCTGGTCATTACTCGACAATCTAGGATATCTGGAGACAACTAGTATGTGGGATGGCTGGTAGGCACACCACTTATATGTGCTGAAGAGGGAAGCACTCAGTTGAATCCATTAGCGGCGCTGTCGCAGTCAAGGGCCCACCCGGCTGTATGCTGGTCTGCCAGGGGAGAGCGGACATGGATGGTTGAGAAGTCCTGAAGGGAGACCTTGACACCTTGCTAGAAGACTTGGCTCGTTCCCAGATGCTAGGTGAGATGAGCCTTGCCTTGTTGCCCAGTTATTGATGCTTTGTTGATCCGGAATGAGACATCACGAGGCTAAGGCTGTCAAAGGAACCCAAAGTTAGTGATGCATTTGCCTTTTGGAGTATAACTCTAATCTTGCGTAGACGATCGTATATTGATGCCGATCATGTCGTTGACCAAAGGTATGAATTGTGGACATAGCCTTCCAAGTGACTATTGTTTACTAGTAGTTGTAGCAGTCTAGTCTGAGTTCTGCCCTGGTCTATGATGTGCCAACAGTGGGGTCTTTGCGCACCTGAACGCGGCCGAGCCACAGGCTAGACACAGCACCATTGTTTGGTAGCATCTGAAACCTCGCGACACACTAAAAGCAGCTAGTGTGGCTGGCAAACCCTTGATCCATGCAGCGACCTGTGGCTAGTGCAGACTAGTGGCAATAATAGGTGGCTGGAGACGGCTGACGCGCCACGGTGGCAAACTGTGCTGTGGCTGCAATGTAGATCCTGTGGCGTCGGTCACTCCGAGGCAACCGGGAGGTGGTATCCTGAGAACGGAGATCTCTTTGCGATGGGTATTAGTGCGGGCTCAGTTTGGAGGCATCAGCAAGTCGATCAGGGCGATATCTCCTGGGAAAGACTGGCCCGCGGTAATAATCCCAACCTGCAGAGGGGGTACCGAACGGAACGGTAACACACCCATGGAAAAACATGCAGTGACCCAAGGTAAGCTCATGGAACCCCGATCATCCCCTACCTCCACCCCCCAATAGTTGCATGGACGTTTCGGCTCCGAATCGGTATTTGTTCGCCCAGGTGAGATGTCACACTTCTATTGCTTTCTCTCCGATGTAAAATTAAAAATCCAGACGGGAAGTCGCGACGGGCCACTTCTTGTGGCAAAAAAGCGCATGCGAGGTCCAACATGGGCACACTGCATTATGCAGCTCTAGGTTATCAGGTGACCAATTAAACGGGCTAGAATTCCACTGTGGGTATGATGAACGTGCTCGTGCATACATAATGGCAGCGAATTCCGGGAATTGACGATGCTACCCCATTCACGGACCGTCGGTGATATGAGACGAGCCAGATAGAGCAGGTAATTGTGTCGCCTTGCATGAGCTGAACCAGAAATATCGGGCGGAGGACAGTAATATATTGATTCTGAGGTGATTCCTGTTCAAGCCTCCCTCGGAATTGTTTTCCTTGCAATCTAGATCCCCCTGACAGAACCGAAAGATGGTGCTGGTGTCACATAGCGCAGTCAACGGCTATCTCGCATTGACTTCGTTGTATGTTGTACCGTAGGGTAGTCTAACCGCACGAAATGCATCTGGCCACCCCGGTGTTGTAAGCACTTAACCTCTTGGGAGCCGTGCGCAGTGAGGATCTCGAAGGGGAAAAAGCAAAACTCACCCAGATCCACCAACGATAGCAGGACACAACAGCCACCCGGTCGAACGAGCCACACTGAGCCATGGTTCATGGCGCAGAGATACGAAGCAGGTGCATTGCGGTGCGTTGTTTCGGTAGGTATCTGTCAAAGCCGTCAAGGAGAAGAATGCACATCACCTGCACCCTGAGTATGGCGTCTGGTAAGCCGCAAGGTGTGGGCACTAGACAGTCAGTTAGTGCTTGTTTTGTAGTGTTTGCCTCACCGCTCCTCCAGCATTTCCCTTTTTCCCATCCCTGTTTCCATGCCTGCGGGGACATGCTTGCGCATGTGTTGCAGTCTGGTCTTCAGACGGGTTTCTCGGACCAGGCAATCCAAGCGAAGTCATAGTTGCAGGTTTCAATCGAGATATTTCCCGATGTGCCCGGGCTAGTGCTTTCCTCGTTTGCCCCTGTGAATCCTTCTGCCTGTACCAGCTGGATCAGGAGCAAGCTGACCGAACAGGGAAAACATCAACAAAGACCAGGACGAGACGTCACCAATGCCGGCATCAGCCAGCGATTAGTCCAGCGGCACAATAACTCGCCCAGTAAGGTGCAGAAGCGGCCTCGATATTGCAGGGAGTGGGCCTGAGCTGGTGTCAAAACTCCCCGGCGTCACGATGTGGCAAATTTTCTGGCATTAGCCTGGCGGACCTGAACGGATGTGATTAGCATCAAGGCGCACGCTGGGGCACTGGTCGATAATAGTTCACAATGCCTGTGGGCTACATTGGTTTGTGGACCATCTAGCAAAAGAACCCATCATCTGAGTTGTGGAAGTTTTTCCCGGAAACCAGGCGATGGAGACTGGGAGAGATGAGAGGAAGACAAGAGTAGAGCCGCTAAAGGATCGGGGTGAGCCTGGAGGGGAGGGTTCCTTACCTGACGGTACCTTACCTTACCCCTTCTCGCGAGCCCTGTGGAATTTTACCTGCATGGTGGGGTCAGCTGGCTGGCTTGGTCTAACTGTAGGGTGTCTACCCTGCCATTGGTGGTTAGATCGGGACAGTTCTTTGTTTATTGATTAGTAGTACATTAGTACCTACCTTAGTCTTTCCTCTCCGCCAGAAGAAATTTAGCTCCCCCAAATATCTACTACTGCAGGACTGAATGGATCGATTCCGCCCCGTCATGCGGCTGCGGGTGTTCCACCCAACAGGTGAAGTGGTGACCGTTGGCCAGCGCCTACCAACTCGGTTCCTTGAGACGACCACCTAACATGGAATAACCTGGACGATTCAGTAATTAGTCCTTAGCCAGACCCAAAAGAAACCAGTCAATCACAGCAGGCCGGCAATAAAGAGCTGCCGATGCTGTACCCCGCCAACATCCAACATGCATTAACCTCTGCTTATCTGTCAATTCCGTTGACGGCGCTGAGCATCACTACCGAGCGCCCGGATGACTGAAACGATGCATTACTAGGCAGAAGGAAAAGGGTAGTCCATCGTCTCCGGACAGCTGATAGTTCAAGGAAGGGGTTCCTGACCGCCGCGTGTGCCACGACTAGCAGACAGAACTATGGAAACGCCACTTACACCGCATCCCTCCCTGAGGGTGAGAAGGAATCCTGAAGAGCTTGCAGGCTTGATATGGCGGGCACATGGCTGACGGATTAATGATTGGCGACGGGGAGGGCCCTAGCCGTCACCAATTACCATTCAGGCTGGCCATCTAGAGCTCTATTGATTGGTTACCGGCCTTGGTAATACCGTCAGCATACCACGACGGTTACTGGGTCGGATCAGATGGACGATCTTACATCTCGCACACTGACCCTGCTGTTTTTTCCCCTTTGCACAGTGCAGTACCCTGGTAACTCAGCCCTGGTCCTGATGCCAGACTCCCGAATACGTAGGTATCCGGGTGTTGAGGCTTCAGCTTGCCCGACTGAGCCGGAGCAGTTTCTAGTACAATGAGGGATGGACATAAGGAGGCACGTCGCAACTGTGCCCAGTGCAGCTGCACGGATATCTCTGATCTGGGCAACGGGCCTATCAGCATTTTCCCGGGTCCACCAGCGAAAAGGACACGCGATGACCAGCGCTTTTTGCCATCCGCTAAGGACGGAGCTGCTAAGATACGGGGCACCACCCTTCCCTTGATCTGTACCTGATTTTGCCTTTTTTATTTTTGGGAGGGGAACCATGGCCGAAGTTAATTCGGACAAATATCTTTTTCTTTTGTCTTCACTATGATACTCTTCTGAGGATGATGCCTCTAAATTGAAGTTATGATCAATGGTTCAGGATTAATCAGCGTTGTTCTGTGCCAGCGGACCTCTGCCTAGTCTGGGAGGGGAGGGTTAGGACTGGGTTTATTGCTGGCCATTATTGGCTGTGCCCCGAAAAATCATCAAACGGATAGAAAAAATAAAATCGAATAAAATAGAAATTAAGGGGAAAATATTAATACATTTATTCCAAGACATAATAAGACCAAAAAAAAAAAATTCAGGCCGAGATAAAAATAAAAAAGAAAGTATCAGATCTTGATTATTTATATGATACGCTTGCTCGACCTCTTTTTGACCATACTACCAGTCACTGACTGACCTTTTGTGTCCAGCCCAACTTGAACTGCCCTGACCGAGAGAGTGACCCTATCGGGTAGACCCGTTCTGGTTCTAGTCACTCCTCGTCCCAAACAATATCCAGGTCCAGTCCACGGCCAACGCTGCTCCGCAATCCAACTCTTTCGCTCAACCGTTTCTTAATTCACTTTCTTCCTGTCTCAGGCCGAAGATTTATGTATGTCTCATGTCCCCCCATCTCGTCTTCTCGATGGGTCCCATCATCTAGAGCCTCGTCTACATCTACTTCCTCCGCTCGCTTGCTCCTTCCCCTCCTGCTCGGCCCATGCACTGTCATGAGCTGTTCTTGTCCCTCCTATAAATGGACCCCGCCTAGCAGATGTCCATGAACGAATCTCACTCGGGTAGAGGACTAGGTTTCGCGATCCGGGCCCTGTTCCGCTCCTCGCCTTCACCCTCACCAACCCCGACCCCGCGACCTCGTGTGTCCCTCCTCCGTCGAGGACGAAGTATATTCTCCAACAGGTACGCAGTGTTCTTCACCTGGTCTCTATTCTTGTCTTGATGCTCGCATCTATGTCACTGCGTCTCATGCTTGGCTTCAATGCGCGGTGGATAAGAGACCACACACCATGTAAGACTGGTGTGGAAGAAAGCGACTAAGAGTAGTGTCTAGTAGGAACCCTCGCAACTCGAGCTGTCTTTCGTCCGGGTCCCCAATGCAAGATCGCCAGCAACTCAATCCGGCCGCGATGGTGGGCCTTGCCCAAGCGTCTACGAGTGACGAATTTGACATCTTTGAATGGCACCCACGATACCAGAACTGTCAGCGATACTTTCTAGACCATGCACAACATAGCGTTCCTGTCCAAGCGCTTTCCGCATATCTGAACATCCGTCTCCCCTTCCAATGGCAGTCGAATCCGGTTCTGAACTCTCATGTCGATTCACCCTCCGCCGCTAATCAGCCATCGGCTGCATCCTCTCCCGCCTCGACGCTGCCCCCCTCCGTCTCACTGATCCCATACATACGCCGTCTCGTGGCCACCGGGATGGATTTCCCGGGGGTGCTGCATGGATTCTTCGGGGACGACTGGGGCACAGGCATTGGGCCCCTTCACGAGCAGGAACGGCGCAATTACCTCTTTGCGGCCAAGAGTGGTGGGTGGGCCGCGGTGAAAAAGGACTACGACATGCTTCCGCTCGAGACGATTCCATTTCTACGCCCATTACAGGGGCCATTAGATTCGGAGATTGAGGCGGCGGAGCGGAGTTGGAGCGAGTGGCTTGCGATGGAAGACTGGATGGTTGGGCCGCGAGCGCCTGATGTGCTTCTCGATTCATCATCACAATTGTCACAACACCGGAGTTCACGGGGATGACAATCAACGACTGCTTGCACATTTATTTCATTTTACTGATATTTTTGGCCATCTTTCTACACCAACCTGGCGGGAGCACGGAGTTGGTGAGACTCAGCATGAGACGACGATCATACGAATTCTAGATATTGCGCGATAGATCTCGCGGATTCATAATGTTTGGCTTCACATTAACTGAGTGTTGCACCTCTGGCAGGGTCGTGTTATACGACAAGAACACGAGATATTTACCCCTTTTCATGAAGTAGTGACCTGCTTCAGATAAATCCTCAGGTACCTGATGTTCCACTTTTCAGCCCCTACTAAGTACTAAGCCCCTGCATCGGGTACCGACTCTATAACGACCATAATATAGGTACCATATATCCCCATAGCCTTAGTGACACACTACAACAATAGCATAACTACTACTATATACTAGTAGTGTCCGGTCAGGTCTCCAACTAGCATAATTGTCATTGATGCCTGACCGGCCCCTGACACCACGCCAACCAACGCCTTCCGACGGACCGCGGCATTAGCTTGATCCAGTCTCCTACTATCCTAATTGAGGCACCGGTCGGATTGAATTTTTTTTCTTTCTCCTTTCCTTCTCTTTGGGCAGTTACCTATGTATCTGTATAGTTTGAGATAGGTACGGAGTAGTAAGATGCCGACCGACCGAGCATCCGACCGGTCGGATGCTCGGTCGGTCGCCCCACGGGTTTGGTTCGGGAATGGGATCATAGTTGATACCTAGGGCGTACGGAAGAGTGGGTGTAGGAATAGGAGGGTGATGATTACAAAGCAATTGGGATAGTTACGGAACAGTGGAACTGGTGGAAAAGAAAGAAAGAGAGAAAGTAGGGCTTGATAGCCGTGATCCGATGTCCACTACAGTACCCTATTCCAGTGGTCGGTTGGTAGGGTAATCGGTACCTGCAATTCATAACCCATGGATGAGACATGATTCACTGAACCAAATAACACCAAACCAAACCACTACACTCTATATATAGGACATGTGAAGTGTCTATATGCACGTATCTGCCTCTTCACCAAGCCCACTAAGGAATGAAAGAAAAGAAAACAAAAGGCAACTCATCCAAATCCCGACCCGCATACCGACAGAATAGAACTGGACCAGGGCACAGCGATTAAACTTCTTCTGGACTTTTCGATGGGGGGAACCGAGTGGTAGGTGGCGCGGCTGAAGGGCGGGGTTAGGGGGGGGGGGGCTAGGCTGTTAGGCTGCTGGTCCGCTGGAGATGGGGGAAGTGGGAACTTCAAAGTTTCAATGGGACTGGGAGTGGGAGTGGGACGGGACATTGGGAAGTGCTAGGTGTTAGCGTAGTGCCGTAACGGTGTAGGGGAACATCACTTACAGAGTACGGGACAGGTTTAGAGGGTTATCCAGTATGGAGTACCCTGTATTGAAAGTAGGGTGCTCCGTACGGAGTAGGATATGAGGTATAAGTGTATGGGATGTTTTGTTGTGTATTTAGGGTGTGAGGTTGTTTGTATCTGGGATGGCGTAGTGATGTAGGTATAGGGTTGTAGAGTGTATGAACGTATGTGTTCTGAGTATGATTGTATGGTTGTAGTGGTAGAGAGTGAGGGAAGTACCTCTTTCTTCAGATCAAGAAATACATACGGTATGGGATACAAGCATGTATTTATGTGAAATTACGTTGTTGAATACCGCTGACAGTACAACATCCATACAAACTTCCATATTGTGGCGGTGCTTGCTGTGAGCCTGTGAAAGATGTATGTATTGATGTTTTAATATTAACAGTATGACTATACACCATTTCCTCTCCAACTATGATGAGCCTTGATGTACCCATGTCAAACACGATCGAATACTACATCGTGTGAGGAATCGATGACTGGAGGAAAGTTGTATGGTTATACAGTATCCTATCATCAGGTCTCATTCGAGTTTGACCAGAAGAACTACCATATCCCAGAAACATGAATAATGTTTCTAGTGCTTCCTTCCGACTCAGTCGCAGAAGCTTGCCATCGTATATGACGAGACCACAAAGATACATATTGTCCATGTTGACTAGAATTTGGGAAATTGTGTCCGCTACCCGCTCTCTTCTTGCCTCTCACGATAATGTAATTTTCTTGTGTGGAATCCATCGCCGTATCACAGCAGAAAACATACGTTGCCCTCAAGCAATTAATGCCTGATTTTTTGCAATACAGGTCATGCAGTTCCGTTCTGAAGAGTAGATGTGTGCACAATGACCCAGCTAATTACATCTTCGATTCATAGACGTATACTGATTCGACGCATATCCACAGCAGTTGAGGGCTGCCTTTGTTCAATATCATGATATTGATGATGGGGGGCAATATCAAAATCAGATACACAGACCATGCCAAGCCCTGTGTATTTAATTAAGAGGCTCGAAAGTGAATAACAAAAGAAGTGATTTAATGCCCGTGTTCCCACTTGTTGCAGGCGAATCTATCTCATTGTAATCTTGCTTCCGCTTGTCTGCTTTCTTTCCAGGACCATTCAGGTGCAGGGTATTTTCAATGTGTTGTGCTATTCAGCATTATAGATGTGGTAGCAGCTTGCATCGTTCGTTGAGGTAAATGGGACCAGTCCATTTGGTGCTAAAGCTGTTGAGCCTAGGGATACGAGAGAAGTCATTGTATATCAGTCTTGCAGAAATGATGTCAACCATCGATAAAGAGAAGATCTGTGCCTTCTTGGGCTTTTTCTGACAGTATCCTTGTTGAAAGGGGAGTCCTTTTTGGTCTTAGTCTCCAGCCGACAAAGAATATGTTATCCAAAGACACAATTTCCTGAACAGACCACCTCTGTAGCGATGGAAGAACACAGCACGTGATAACTGCTGAAGTCTACCCCCCAGTCTAGCGTCTCATCATCTGCTTTAGGCCCACCGGTAGAGGGGAGAGGATCATGGATAATGCAGGTGCATCCCCCATAGCAATGTCCGTGTCAGCATTCTGTCCTTCACTTCATGAAGCCAAAAAAACACATCTCGAGTCCTCTTTCTTCCGCCTCTACTTTGGTTCCTTATGTTCTCTGTGGGAGATAATTTGCTCTCCACGGCAAATCTCCTGCCACCGCCGTACAGGTTGCAGGCCCTGGGCCATAGTTGACTTTCTTTGCTTATCTCATGGTTAGGCAGTCATCGTACAACTCGTTATATTTCTCAATATCTTCAATTCATCAACCCGCTGTACGGCGGTGACCCGTTCTGTATCGATACCGTAGGTGGCCGGATTGCTGATGCACGGTTCCTTTATGACATGACATGACAAAGCGATACCAGGAACCGGCTATATAGAACCGCGTCCATTGCTTCTAAGCTTCAAGGGTAGGTTCGCTTCGTTTGGGACATCGTGGGTCGCAGTCATACACCAAGTGCTTTCTGTTGTTTCCTGTAGTGACTAGGCATAGGGCCTAGCGATAAGGGTGCTTCCATGCTTCAGTAGACTGCACAATGGAAAAGAAGCCAAGCAATCCATGTTAATTCACACCCTTGGGACATTGAAGAAGTTTGTATGTATGTGGTGGCAGGCAGATGCAAGATGAAAGGCGATGATATATTATTCCAGATTTGTTGGGTCTCTTAGTCTGTCTGTAGATGATCTTCCATAGAATTGATATTGGACGGTTCTGCTTGTAGAAGACTGATCGGGTCTGGGATGTCTTCCTACCGAGACTATATAATCCTCTGTCCGCGAATTAGTCACTCTGGCTTGTAGCTGGTTCTCTCGAAACAGTAAGAAAAAGAGCCAAAGTAGTCCCCTCGGCGTCCAATAAGGGCAACATCTTTGTCTAATTTCTTATAGATTCGATATAGTACCCACCAGGAGATATTCTGGTCCGTTCGGCCTGCTTTCTGTAGGGCTTCGTAAGTGACAATTCAGTGACACTGTTCATAGAGCGAAAAACAATGCACTGCTCGTTGGGGAATGCAGAGCCGCTTCTAAAACATTTCGATGATCGACTTGTCTTCAGCTTCTATTTCCAAGCCCATTTCTCCACAAATGCACGTTCTGGGATGTTCTTAAAATTTCGGGAACTCCGGAGGAATCGAGCTTTGGGTGGGTGGTGGGTTGGGAATTAGATAGCGACTGAAGCTGAAACTGTGGTCGTGGTTGGAGTTATAGTATATGATGTTATTGTGGTAGTGGTGGGATAGAAAATAATGGGGAAAAAGATGATAATCGATTCATATTAGTGATTGAAGCGTTTGTCCAAAGTAGTTGATAGTACTGCCGCGCTCGGATGACCATGGATGACTGTTCTTCTTGCATGATTGCATTAACATTAATAGACCTTGGGAATTGGGGTCTAGATCTGGTCTGGATAGACGAGACGATGACAACATCCTCGCATATGATGTGACTCTTAGTATGATGTTGTTTCGTCATATTGACTGTGTAGATAATGTGCCACGTCACAGACGGCATGACACCGGTAACGAGTGTCCTTAACCATGGAAGTACTGGCATTAAGGAAGACCATGAAGCTTGTATTTACTGCGGCTTCATCTGCTGTTATGAGATGATCATTTTAATACCGCTGCACGGTTTCAGGCAAGCCTGATACCGATGAAGAGCTTATTGCTCGCCAGAGGTGAAGTATTTTGCCTCTAGATCGTACTGCGCGATGTCGTCAATCTTTCTTGATCTAGCATTTTCAAGTTATATCCAGCAGCATAATGTCTCTTATTCCAAGAGATGGATATGGAGAGTATGTGGATGCTATTGTGACGGTATGTTACTTATTTCATTGAAGACGTCAACGTGTTTAATGCCGGTCTCATCACCGATATTTTGCTTGTGGATCAAACTTGAAGCAGCCTAAAGGCAGGATTCTGCATACCATAGTAGTGGGAGAGGTAGTCTTCGCGCCATTGAATATCGTACAGGGACTTGTACATCCCAAAAGGTGCTCCAGGCTGTATTCTCCCTGCGAAGTAGATATCATGAAGGGCGGAGCTCGTTGTTATACCTGAACCCGCACAAGGTCTGGCGGCGCTTCCAGCAGAATATCTCACTGAAAAAAATGGAGATATTTATGCAATTGAGGGAAGACAAAGCACTGAGTTCTGTCGTAGATCGTATCAACGATTCTAGATGAATAACAACCACGATAAACTGTCTGGCTTTAATACATTCAGACGTGAGAATTTTGCTGGTAGTGGTCTCACTAGGAGCAGCTCGTTTTGAGGCTACAGTTTGAGGCTGGTCGAGTAGTTTGGCTAGGTGGTTGGTATTTTCCATTAGTTGTGGTGGGAGCATACAGTACACTAGCAAGTCTCATCGCGGCGCTAGATCAGTGGAATGCACCATATCTGATTGCTGCACCTGTGCATGCAGCTTAGATGAGTTCGACATAGTCGAAGCTGCTCATGACAATCTGTTCTATGAGCCCCGGTTTACAAAGCGATATAAATATCAAACCCTCAGCGGGCAGAATTGGAACCTTCCTGGGCGTAGGTCAACGACACTGCTCTCATCACCTAGGGTGGAAATCCTAGTAGTTGCGTTTATAGCAAGTTTATCATCCGAGCCGAGTGACTCGTAACCCTTGTCTCGCTGCTGTTGTTAGGATTAACTGTATCCATGGGGTGAACCGGGTATTGTGGATCAATTTGATTGTGACTTACTAGACCGCTTATCCGCGAACAGGTCTAAGATTGATCGTATGGCGATGTGGTGGTCATATATTCGAATTAGTGGTGGTTTATAGGTATTTCAGCCCTGTATGCGGTAATGCGATAGCCAACGTTTTAGTCTGGGTCAACTGGTCAAATACGGTACTCGGCAGTGTATATGAGAGGATTAGGTATCTGTGGAGTATTATTTGGCTAGTCATGATGAGATGGATATTAGATAGTACAAGCCTGGATAGATGTCTCTATTTATATAACAATACCCGACAATTCAATACAATGGTGAAGATACAGGAATGCTGTAATATTGCCAATCGAATGAATGCCCCGCACCACCAGGCATTCAACAGCAATGAGTGAAGTCATCTCAAATCATACTATGTACGATACATTCAACTTGATCACTCTTGACATGGCCGTTTCATCATCCCCATTTTGATTGAATATCCACGCACACTGCCCCAGACGAACCAGTCCAACCAAACCTTGTCCAAACTCATCCCCCTCGTGATCATCACAAACTTCCCGGTCGATGCCAATCAAGCATCACCACCAACCTGCGCGTAGGAAGTATATCGGGCCTGGGATGCATTAGTCCTCTTGGCGATCTCAGCACGGTGGGTGGGGGCGGTGCCCCGTCCGTAGCGTGACTTCTCATTGGCCCGGACGCCACCGTAGGATTAGGCGAAGGCAACTGATAGGCAAGCGGCCAACCTAAAGGCAATCAAGACCCTGCCGGTCCACCTGGTGTGACTGTCAGCAATGCAGCATCCATCCCAAAGCCCAAGTCAGTGGTCTAACTTCATCTAGCATCCCGGTTTCCCCCAGATTCACATGCAACGGAGTACCTATTGACTGTTTGATCGAGAGAACTCCCCGAGATCGAGTTACATAACGCTGATGTCCCCCTACACTCCACACATGGGTGGAGGAGACCGTTCAATGTGACAGTGACATGACACCAGTGTCTCCATGACTGGTCGGCTAGAACCCTCCCCGTTCCGAGCCAGTCAACCATCCTATGAAGACTAGCATTGGACTATCTCATAAAGCTCACCGGTGAATCCCCCGACCACCAACCGGTCGCATGATCAGATCCCCCAGTGACCCGTGTCCAACCATGACAGGAATCCTTCCCCCACGCCGGGGCTCACCGGGGTACATGGGGGAAGGTGTGATGGTCCTATTATCGGAGGAAAGATCTCCGGTAGATGTGATGCCCGCGGCCGACGAAGTTGGGGAGGATTGGGCGATACGAGTAGGTAAAGGAAATCCGGCATCAGATAAGGCACGTGGGGCGGTGTCATGGCGCCCAGGCCAATGGGAATGCGCGAGTCAGGTGACCCGCCACTTGTAGGATCTCTTGGCGTACAGATGCGACGATTCATTTTATCACGGTCGACGGAATGCTCTATATTTTAAGTGTAGGAAGTAGTACTCGGTGCTCCGTACTTTCTACTTAATTCTTATACTAGGCTATGGCCATTTGGTATAATTGCAGAAATTTATCCGACTCGAGTTTCCGACCGCAACCCAAGACGGGGTTGCCACCCGGTTCCTCCCGACTGCCAGCGGGCGATTGGTCATTGGCGGGCGGGCCAGCGGATTCCCGCCGATAGATAACGGGCAGATTCTGTGACCTCAACGTATCGACTAAGAGCCCGAAGTTCGGCGCCACTGCAACCCGCCCGGCAGCCGGCCGTCCTGACCGTTGCCAGGCGGGCCTCCAGCGGAAAATGGCACCAGCCTGAGGGGCGATTGTCCGACTCCGGCTGTAGCAAGTCTCCCCGCCGTCGCCCCTCCGACGAGAACATAAATCCCCTCCTCCCTCGTTTCCCCTCTTCTTTTTTTCTTCTTCCCTCTTCAGACTTTCTTTCTCCCACACTTATACCCTGTTTAGATACCCACTAAAAGTTCCTCCTTCAAAATGTCTAACCTTCCCCGTGAGCCCGAGTTCGAGCAGGCCTACAAGGGTATGTGAGATGTTTTCCTTGTCGTGACAATTTCTGCAGAGGGATCAATTCTGACAGCAACAGAGCTTGCCTCCACCCTTGAGAACTCCACTCTCTTCCAGAAGAACCCTGAATACCGCAAGGCTCTCGCCGTCGTCTCCGTCCCCGAGCGTGTCATCCAGTTCCGTGTCGTCTGGGAGGACGATGCTGGCAACGTTCAGGTCAACCGTGGTTTCCGTGTCCAGTTCAACAGCGCCCTCGGCCCCTACAAGGGTGGTCTCCGTTTCCACCCCTCGGTCAACTTGTCCATCCTCAAGTTCCTCGGTTTCGAGCAGATCTTCAAGAATGCTCTCACCGGCCGTATGTTATACCTCCTTTCCTTTGGCTGAATCAGGCTAACCGGTTAGTGAACATGGGTGGTGGTAAGGGTGGTTCCGACTTCGACCCCAAGGGCAAGTCCGACAACGAGATCCGTCGCTTCTGCGTTTCCTTCATGACCGAGCTGTCCAAGCACATCGGTGCCGATACCGATGTTCCCGCTGGTGACATTGGTGTCACCGGTCGCGAGATCGGCTTCCTCTTCGGCCAGTACCGCAAGATCCGCAACCAGTGGGAGGGTGTTCTCACCGGTAAGGGTGGCAGCTGGGGTGGTTCCCTGATCCGCCCTGAGGCCACCGGCTACGGTGTTGTCTACGTATGTTATCCCAGCAGTTTTTTTCTGAGCGTCAAGCTAATGACAACAGTACGTCGAGCACATGATCGCCCACGCCACCAACGGCCAGGAGTCTTTCAAGGGCAAGCGTGTTGCCATCTCCGGTTCCGGTAACGTCGCCCAGTACGCCGCTCTCAAGGTCATCGAGCTCGGCGGTTCCGTCGTCTCCCTCAGTGACAGCCAGGGTTCCCTGGTCATCAACGGTGAGGGCAGCTTCACCCCCGAGGAGATCGAGGCCATTGCCCAGATCAAGGTTGAGCGCAAGCAGCTCGCCAGCATCGTCGGTGCCGCTCCCTTCAACGACACCAACAAGTTCAAGTACATCGCCGGTGCCCGCCCCTGGGTTCACGTCGGCAAGGTCGACGTTGCCCTCCCCTCCGCCACCCAGAACGAGGTTTCCGGTGAGGAGGCCCAGGCTCTCATTGACGCCGGTGCCAAGTTCATCGCCGAGGGTTCCAACATGGGTTGCACCCAGGAGGCTATCGACACCTTCGAGGCCCACCGTCAGGCCAACGCCGGTGCTGCCGCCATCTGGTACGCTCCCGGTAAGGCCGCCAACGCCGGTGGTGTTGCTGTCTCCGGTCTGGAGATGGCTCAGAACTCTGCTCGTCTCAGCTGGACTGCTGCCGAGGTTGACGCTCGTCTCAAGGACATCATGCGCGACTGCTTCCAGAACGGTCTCCAGACTGCTCAGGAGTACGCTACTCCCAAGGAGGGTATCCTGCCTTCCCTGGTGACTGGTTCCAACATTGCCGGTTTCACCAAGGTGGCTGCTGCCATGAAGGACCACGGTGACTGGTGGTAAATGTTTCTCTGATGTGTGATGATAATGTTTGTTTTTAGCGCGTGATAGAGGCGCCGGTGTTTCGGACCTAGATGGATCATATGATACCTTTTGCTGTGCTTGCTGTGCCGTGCCGTTGCCGTTGCCGTAGTGTAGTGTAGTGTACCCACTACCGGATAAAGTAAGCTTATTTTCCTGACATGTAGACAAGCCATGATTAAGTCACCCTCAGCTTAAAATAGGCGGCGGGTAGCCACTGAGGCTATGTACACCACGCGACCCGAGTACGGAGTACAGAAGCATACAATAAAACCAGCACGTCACTCTGATTCACAACCCTGTACACTGCAGAGTAATGGGAGGTTCAACGTACACTAAACCATCACCATGAAATCAAAAAAAGCAGAGAGAGAGAGAGAGAGAGAGAGAGAGATAAATATATAATCACAACCTCCAATAAAATGAAACACCTATCTCTAATAATTCCCCCCACATACAGTTTCTTTCTCCTTATACTTAGTAGTAGGTAGTAGTACTAACCACCAACTCAAACACCTCCTACCTCCCCTCACCAATAATCATATGTAGTCCACTACGCACCAATAGTCAATAATTCAATGCAAATATCTCCACATGTCTACCCCACTCTACTATTCCCTAGTATAGTGTAAGCCTTTTTTCCTCTACCTCCAGAACTGACACTTACATCATGATGCTAGTATTACCTAACCTATGACTGTATGATGTATACTCCTCTCATAGGAACGAGTCTTTCATTCGTGAAGGAGTATATCCTATCGAGAGGAGTTTGATTTTATAGATTCTGGCAGAGGAGAGGAGAGGAGAGTCGAGTCGAGGCAGTGGAATGGATTACTTGCTAGTTGTGTATTAGATCCATTTCTATAGGAAGTAGGTGATAGGTGAGTAAAGTAGGTAATTTTAGTTGACTTTGGGATTGTGGTCGTATCTGTTTTCTTTCGTGGAGGGGTTCGAAGTACTCTATGTACTGTATTGTATTTGCGGAGGGGTGATACTGCCGTACTATTAATTCAATTGTTGGGAGTTTTGTTTGATGGATGTCAGTTGAGAGGTAGTATCATTCATCATGAAATCCTTCTTCATTACATTAATACAGATAAACCTAATAAACCCCGACTTAAAACCCCAGATAATGAGTAGTATATACTGTCAGTATGCATACTCCTCATACCGAAAACTCCAGATCGTCTTCGCCGACCGATCAAACCCATGTCCCTTTGAACTCGTCGCCCCAATATGCTGCAGCACGGGCGGGACCACCACCCACCGCATCCACTCCTGTTGATCGGCAATCTTCTCCACCATCATATCCACCAACCAATCCGTCGTCAAATCCGTATGCTCCAAAAACGACGGGATGATCGCCCGCGGAAACACCAGACCCTGCGAACAGCACCCGTATCGATTCATTTCATGGACTCCGGGCTGCATGGGCCACATGGTTTGTCGTCCGGCTAGGAAGTGGAGCGCTATCGCTGCTGGGATGAAAAGGCCGGAGATGGTATAGATTGTACTTGTTGGGATGGGTCTGAACCGTCGGTGGATGGAGATTAAGACTCCGGTGCATGCGGCCCAGAAGAGGAATGCAAAGGAGAGGTATCGGGGCCATTCTTCGGCGTTCCAGCCTAGGAGGTCGTCGACGTAGAAGAGGCGGAGGTAGATCCAGTTGTTTTGAGCTGCTGTAGTCCGTTGCTGAATGGTGTCGAGGGCGTGTAAGGTCGAGGACAGCCAGCCTGTGGCTGCCAAGGTATCATCCTCGACCATGGCGATGTACTCCGCGCCGGTGTCGTAGCAATCTTTCATGAGATGGGTGAAGTCGTAGATGGTTTTGTTCCGATACCATCCTCCCTTTTCCCATTCGCGGATTTGTTGGAGATCGGGGTCATCCGGCGGATAGCGTAGGACGCGGTCGGGGAGGGTTTCCACCCATTTTTCCGAGTAGATGGGGTGGGCCATGGGATCGGTATGTGCAATGAGTAGATCGAGGAAGATGGAGTTTCGTTCGGACTCAGTTAGCCCTTCGAGAAGAGAGGCTACGGTGAGTCCGACGTATTGTTCTCTCCGTCGACGGACCGTTACAACCCCCACGCAGAGCGTTGGCGGGGTGTTGCGGGGCTCTGGGGGAGAGGGCCAGTTGCTTGCCCGGCTGAGGAAGGACTTTGCTTCTTGGATTCGGTGTGCGGAGTAGCGCGGTTCGTAGGCATGACTGGGGTCAAAGAAATAGGACGTAGGGTCGCGAGAACTGACGGAATGGTAATAGCGGAGGGAGAGGAGGTACAGAATACTGAATATACAACATACTGTGCTGGTTGGATGTAGGGATGGCATACCCAGGCGCAAGTGCCAAAGACGCGACAACGTAGCCATTCGTGCCTTCAACAGCTGGCCGCAAGAGCGGCGGTGACACTTGAAGGAGCGGATCAAGGGATGGTGAGTTGAGAGGGGACGGCGGAAGAACAAAGCCAGTGATCCCACCCACCTGGGGAGCCTGGGAGCCTGGGAGCCTGGGAGGACCCCCCCGGAGAAATAAGGTTGGGTCCAGTGATCCGGGCCAGGCCGGAAGCGGCTTAGTTGACCCGGGATCCCGTGCCCCACCCCCGGACCAATCACCAGCTAGTTATGGTTGTACAAGTCAGATAGATTCACCTCCACGGGAAATTCATATAGAGTATCGAGAGTATCTAAATAATAAGTTAGTAGCTTCTGAGAAGAAAACCATAGTGGCCAGAAGCCGATGATCCGGTCCGCACCTGGGCAGTCGAAACTAAAACCCCACCAGCTTCCAAGGAACTAACTGTACCTTTTGACACAAATCCAAGTCAAAGCCATCACGAACATTTCTTTCTTCCCTGTCACCAACCGCCTAACTCAACCATTTCATACCATCATACCATCATACCATCATACCATCATACCATCATACCATCATACCATCATACCATCATACCATCATACCATCATACCATCATA